ATGTTGATGGAGACCGAGATTTTGGCATCCAATCCTTGAGTGTGAGATTGGGGCCACAAAGAGTAAGAATAGAAAGTGTTTCTAGTAAAACATATGCCACTGTAAATTGGTATCGCTTTTGAACTTAATTCTTCCTACTGTAGGTGTATCAGCTCTGCATAAGCATACTGTTGACAGCCTATTTGGCTGCCACTGTAGTAGGAGCTTCATCCACACACCTACTTCAAAAGATAATCACTGTGAGCTATCCGTTTTAATGAAAAATCCAGAATTTGGAAGAGACACAAACAATTTATAAGCTAAGAAATCTTCCATTGTTACAAATGCTTTGATCATCCAGGTGTCTGGTCATGGCCTGCTTGCACTAACACTTTGGCAGAGAGCGCGGCACCTTGAGGTTGAAAATCAAGCGCGTGTCACATCATTTTACATGTTCATTTGGAAGGTAATAAATTAATTAAGTTGCTCGCCTATATTGTGCATTCTCTAAGCCATTAGACTTTGGCTATGTATGCCTAATGATTATTTGCACTTTTTCTGTCACTTTCATGCAGCTATTCTATGCAGAGTATTTCCTTATACCATTTGTGCAGTGAAATTTGTACAAGGGCCAGCAGATGTGAGCTATATATACATGTAAAACAAATTATATTACTGATGATACCCTATCCAATGCTTGGGTTTTCCTTGTACTGTGTTTTCTGTAATTTCATGATCTAGAGAAAGAGGCAAATGTTGGATGTGTAATTCAGATGTAGTAGCTTTGTTCAGTTTGTCCACCACATTAGAGAAATTTCAGTTTGTTAGTTCAGGGGATAATATATTTTCCATTTAATGTGCAAATTAAGCTAAACTGAAGACTCAGCTACTAAAAGTTTTTTTTGCGCCGTACTTTCATTGTTGTTAACTAGATATACATGTTCAATATATCATAGTGGTGGGCCAGAAAAACAATCGGGCTATTTGAGAAAATGACACACTTAATTTACCCATGTTCCCTAGGCTCTTTTACTTTGACATGGATGAAATACCCCCAATTTACGTTGTCCATTCGATGAGATGCCCCATTTACATGACCGACTGCTAATTAAACCAATCTAATCTTAATCTAATGTCATACATGTTGTTATGGTGAAAAACAGCATAAACTAGAAGTTGGATTCTTATCGTTATTGATGTGCAACGACGCTAGCAAGCTTCACAAATGGAAATTGTAAAAATGGGCATATATGGCAATTGAAATGGGTCGACGTATACTTGAGAGAATGGGACACGATATTTTTTAAGCGGGTTCGGCCGCAACTCACGATCGAGAGGGGTGTAGTCCCATTTAGAGTGTGGCACAAGGACAATTGCATGGTGTCGTATAGTCGATGTTCTTGATGATGCAACACTAACTTCCTTCGGACTTTCCCTTCCGCATAGAAGTAGTGGGAAAAATTATCTCAGCAAAATTGTCAGGAGAGACCCCTCTAGAAGTTAGGCAACACCTTGAGGGATGAGAGCTTGTATTCCTTTGAGGATGTCTTACAGGTAATTAACCTTGTACAAATGAACACCATACCCATGCCTTTTGTGGGAAGGAAATGTTAAGGGAATTTTTGTCTATTCTATAGAAGTCCGAAATGCCCTCTGAACGAAAAGAAAATCAAGCTTATTGTAGTCTTCTTTGGTCCATACACTTGGTACATGAGGGATCAACATGAATGGGCTTTTCGGGCTTCATCTTCCCTTGGGCTTCTTCTCCATTGATTGTCATTGAATTCTTTTTTATGCGTTCAATTTCTTCATAGGAGTGAATTGAAAACTCCAGAACGAGACTTGATTTTTTTTTTGCAGGTGGAAGGGATATTTTACTAGGTCCTTCTTACAAAGTTTCGGAGACCTCACCCGGTCCGATCCCAACCACACAACTGTTCGACCTTCAGTTCTACTCCCTCTGTAAACTAATATAAGAGCATTTAGATCACTATTTTAGTATTCTAAACGCTCTTATATTAGTTTACGGAGGGAGTACCAAACTAAGCTAAATAATGACTAACTCCGTTTTGCTCTCTCCACACGTAAGTCTGTTTGTCTAATAAATTAACAGAGCATGTCTAGACCTATCTCTATCAGGTGCATTGATCATGTTGATAGCCGTGAGACAGTCCGCCTCAATCTCAATAGGCAGCTGAGTCCACTGTAGTGTGAGGTTGAGCCCCTCCATGCATGCAGCTAGCTCGGCCTCCAATGGCTGAACACACGTCCGCAACTCCCTGCAAGAAAAGAAGATGATCTTGCCGGGACTGTCGCGGAGAATCATTCCGGCCCCGGCCATCCCAGAGTTCGCGCAGAAGGAGCCATCCACAGTGAGCTTAGCGAAAATGATACACTTACGGATAACTTGTACGGAAAGCTGGCTACGCATTGCCGTGGCAGAACGAGAGAGCTATGTGAGCCCGCAGTTCACGCAAAGTGAAATTTTGAGCGTCAATCAGCTGACTCCCCATCTGCGCGTAGCTGTTTTCCGTGGGCTGGCCGTCCGTAAGTGTAGCAAAGTCCGTGAGCTTAGTCCAACCTTCCACTGGCGGCATCCGTCTTGGTGGCTGGCTAGCAACAGGAGCAGTCGATGCATGCAGTATAGGCTTGCATGGCATGATCACATGGACTACTTGCTTGCCTTTCACCGGGTTTGCATTAGGGTAGTTCTGAATGCCCACCAAGGAGTCAACATAGCTCATTAAAAACTTTTTGGACGCGCTTGTCTTGCGTCATCTCGTTTCGAACGTGCCAACACCTCCACAGAGTCATCATGAGCTCCATCCTCTCCGTGTCAGGGAGATCACAGAGAGTTTGGGCGAGCAATCCAAGCCCGTCTGACGGAAGGTCACTGCATCAGGTATCCTCCATTGCTTCGCCATCGCTTGCCACAGCGCCACTACCCTCGGACACCTGCAAAAAGCGTGAAGCGTGTCCTCCAGCTCCGTCGCACAAAGAGGGCATTGGTCAGACACTTCAAGACCTTGATGTTTTTTATTAACCCAAGTAGGGAGAGAGTCTGTAATCAAGCGCAAAATAAAGGTGCGAACCTTGGGAGGAGTAGGGCACCTCCAAATAAAAAGCCCAGATGCCTTGTCCCGGTCCGGTGCCCTGCTTGCCGCGACTGATGAAGGTCGAAGATAATCCTCCAAAGCGAGTCGATAAGCACTCCGCACCGAGAAGCATCCATTGCGTTCAGGACCCTAAGCAAGGAGGTCCTTGCCCATCCGAGGAGAATTGTGAATCTTGACAATCTCGTCTGCATCGATCGGGAGAAAAGTATCTCAAATGAGGTCCGTTCTCCAAGCATCGTGGTTGTCCAGTAGCTCACATACCCAACGTAGACGACAACGGCCTTGCGGTGTCACTGGTCGTCTCGTCCCACTCCTTGGTAACCACTGTTCCCGCCAAATTCCGATTGAGTTGTCGTTGCCCATGCGCCAAGCCAGGCCGGTTTTCAAGAGATGTAGGCCGTGTTGCACTCCCTGCCATGTCGCTGAAGCCCCTCCGGAAAAAAATATCTTCCAAGCTTTCGTTTGGATAGTACCGCGCCTTTAAAATACGAGCACACAAGCTCTCCGGGTGGGTTAGTAAGCGCCATGCTTGCCGGGCGAGCAAGGCCTGATTGAAAAGGCACAAGTCGCGAAAACCAAGACCCCCTTGGGACTTTGACTTAATAAGGTGACGCCATGCTCGCCGGTGCATCTTCCTCTTTCCCTTGTCTTCTCCCCAAAAGAAAATTCTGATCATTCATATTCATGTGAGTATGTGTTTCCTTCCACAATAGTGGTCCATCTGCTTCCCTCGCGCAACGTGTGTTGCAGCCTGCACGACCACCCCCAGTGTTGACGTGAGCTGCAGGACGGCCTCACCAAGAGGTTTGGCATGGAGGACGCCATCCATGCTACTACGAGCACAACCTCGTCTTGCTAATTGGAGAAGGTGAGCAGTCAAACGATGTGCAGATAGCAGACATGCAGGAAGGTACCAAGCTCATGAAGGACCTAGCAGACTTGCCACTATTGTCAGAGGAGCGTGCAGACACCATGAATCTCAAGCAAAGGTCGGCGAGAGTGATGCATCCCCAACGACAACCACGAGTGGGAAGCATGTTGTTATGCTATTGCGGGGTGAGGCTGAGATGACCAGGGTAATGCTTTAGTTTTTTTTTTTTGCATCTTTATCCTTCATCCGTTAACCTTGTGGGTCCCTTGGGTCAAGGTGGCAATGGTCCAAGTGACACGTCAATGGATCAACACTGGTCATGCGAATGCGAGCTTAGGACCTAAGATGAACAACTTACATAGTTTTGGGACCTAAAACTGCACTTTTCAAGGGATATGAATAAACTGACACACCTCCAATAGTTTCAGGACTTATAATGCATTTTACTCCTTTTGTAATCGATGTTTATATTTTTTTTTGGCAAAATGCCGTCTGGTCTATTTAGTAAAGCAGAGTCCAAACGATTTAGTACTGGGTATTTAAAATGTTGTCTGTAGATTTTGCACTTTGTACAGCCTACTGGATCCAGCCAGAGGTTAATGGGCCAGAAAAACAGCTATACAAAGATGAGCAAATAAGAATGGCCGAATGCCTGTGTTAAATAGGCCATTGTGTGGGCATGTGTGTCTTCGTTGTAATCGATTTTTCTAAAGAAATGGTGAAATGCCGCCTGGTCTAGAATTTAGTCAAGGTTCCAAACGATAGCACAGTCTATTTGATCTACAAATTTAGAGACGGTATAGCAATGATCTTGAACAATTTTATTCTACAATATCCAACAATCCTAGCTACAATATAATTATCTTCAAAAAGGGGGACTAGTTCACCAATGCTAACGTACATGATTATTCATCATCATCACATCACTAATTTAATCTGCAGCTGAAAAAAAGAGTGGCAGTATCCTGAGTTCCTGACTAGTTTTTTATAGCTAAACCAAAGATCGATCTTTTGAGGTGTCGACGGACGGATCATCAGACGGTGTAGTTGTGGTTGATGTTGTCGATGTCGAGCCCCTTGAGCTTGACCACCGAGTCGACGTGGCCCTTGAGCGTGTGCAGCTCCCGCAGCCTGGCGATCTCGGCGCGCCGCCTGGCCTGCTCGGCGATCTCCGAGATGTCGCTCTTGTCTTCCAAGACGCCGGAGGAGGAGGCCTCGCCGCCGCTGGAGGCGTGCAGGCCGTGTAGCGACCTCTGCGCGACGGCCCACTCGGCCTTGCGCTTGTCGGTGCCGTAGTCGACCCCCTGCGCGAACGCCGTCTTGCCGTCGAACACGTTGCTCCACCCCCTGCCGGAGAGGAAGTAGCGGATGGCGAACTTGAGCACGTCCAGCGGGAAGTAGGTGACGATGGTGAAGAGCCAGATGGCGCCCGCCCACCCCCACCCGATCCCCTTCATCTTGGCGAACGGCCAGTCGGCGTACACGGCGATCAGCGTCGCCACCATCTGCGCCGCCAGGAAAGCGCCGAAGAGCAGCGCCCCCGGCCGCTCCCGGAACGACCACCCCCGCGACCGCGTCACGAAGATGAGCGCCTGGCTGATGATGCTCACCTGCAGGTACACCGCCGCCATCAGCTCCTCCGTGTTGCGGCCGATCGGGTGCACGTGGAGCTTACTCTGCAACGTTTACATAGCAAACGAGAAACAGTACAATGCATGTCAGGGAGGGGACGGTGGCCGCTGGCGTATGCATGTATATGTAGCTACTAGATAGAAAACGGAGAGATGAGAGACCGTGAAGAAGTCTGTGGAGTGCACGGCCCAGAAGAAGACGACGGTGGCGATGGCCTGGTAGGTGCCGAGGACGACGCCGGTGGCGAAGATCTCCTTGAGGCGCCACGAGTCGGGGGTGGGCGACGGCACGACCCTGTCCTTGGAGATGGTCATGATGGTGCCGTCGTTCAGGATGGCGATGATGAGCACCATGAAGGGCGCGAAGTCGAACTTCCAGATGAGCGCCAGGAGGAGGAAGCCGAGGACCACCCGGATGGTGATGGACACGGCGTAGATGGTGTAGTTCTTCATCCGCTGGAAGATGGCGCGGCTCGTCAGCACGGCGCTGATGATCACGCTCAGCCCGGGCTCCGTCAGCACGATGTCCGACGCGCTCCGGGCCGCGTCCGTCGCGTCGGCCACGGCGATGCCGATGTCCGCCTTCTTCAGCGCCGGCGCGTCGTTCACGCCGTCGCCCGTCATCCCGCAGATGTGCTTCATCTCCTGCAGCCGCCGCACGATCTCGTACTTGTGCTCCGGGAACACGCCGGCGAAGCCGTCCGCCTTCTCGATCAGCTCGTCCACGGGGAGCCCGCAGCTGTCGCCGTCCTTGAGGAGGGAGCTCGACGGGTACATGTTGGTGCCCATGCCGAGCCGACGGCCCGTCTCCTTGCCGATGGCCAGCTGGTCGCCGGTGATCATCTTCACGTTGACGCCCAGCTGGAGCGCACGACGGATGGTCTCTGCGCTGTCGTGCCGCGGCGGGTCAAACAGCGGCAGCACGGCCAGGAACTGCCACGGTGCGCCCTTGGCCTCTTTGCTCCGCTCTGGCACGCTCTGCCGCGCCACCGCTAGCGACCGCAGCCCGCGGTCGGCGAACTTGCCGATGATGCCGTGCACCCGCCGCCGCACGTCCTCGCGCAGCCCGCACAGGTCGATGATCTGCTCCGGAGCGCCCTTGCTGACCCGGTGCCATGTCCCGTCGGAGTCGACGTAGGTGATGGCTGTACGCTTGTCGACGGGGTTGAACGGCATGAAGTGCACCTCCTGGATGCCGGCGCGGGCCTCCTTGGGGTCGGCGAGCATGCCGACAATGGAGGCGTCGATGGCGTCCTGATTCTCAGTCCGTGACGCCCTGGCGGCATAGAGCACGACGGCGTCCTTGTCGACGTCCTTGACGAAGGACTCGATCATGTTCTTGTCGACGGTGAGCTTGTTGAGCGTGAGGGTGCCCGTCTTGTCGCTGCAGAGCACGTCCATGCCGGCCATCTCCTCGATGGCTGTCATCCGCTTGGTGATGGCGCCCTGCTGCGAGAGCTTGTGGGAGCCGATGGCCATGGTGACGGAGAGCACGGTGGGCATGGCGATGGGGATGCCGCCGATGAGGAGCACGAGCAGGTTGTCGATGCCGTCGCGGTACCGGCGGTGCTGGATCGGGTACATGACGACGATCTCCACCAGCATGCCGATGGCGATGGACACGATGCAGAAGTTGCCGATCGCAGTAAGAACCTGCTCGAACATTCACGACGACGCGGCCCATTAGGCATTAATTAATTAGCACAGCAAAGAATGAGAAAGTGTTTGAGTGGAAAAAAACGAGTTACCTTTTGGAAGTGGCCGACGTTGTTGGTGCTGTCGACGAGATGCGCGGCCTTGCCGAAGAAGGTGTGGACGCCGGTGGCGATGACGACGGCCTCGATCTCGCCCTGCTTGCACGTGGAGCCGGAGTACACGCTGTCGCCGGGGAGCTTGTTGACGGGGAGGGACTCGCCGGTGAGCGCCGACTGGTCGATCTTGAGCGGGTCGCCCTCCATCAGCCGCGCGTCCGCCGGGATGATGTCGCCCAGCTTGATGCTGATGATGTCGCCCGGCACCAGTATCGCCGCGTCCTGCTCCGCCCACTTGCCGTCCCGGAGCACCTTGGTCTGCGGCGCCAGGCTGGCCATCAGCGCCGCCGCGGCGTTGCCGGCGTTGTTCTCCTCGATGAAGCTGATGGTGGAGTTGATGATGAGCAGGGTGACGATGCCCACGAAGTCCTGCCAGTCGGGGGGCTTGCCGCCGCCGTTGGCGAGGGCGATGGCCATGATCGCCGCCGCCTCCATGACCCACGACAGAGGGTTCCACATGAACCCTAAAAACTTGAGGAACTTGCTCTCCTGCAAACCCACACACGGCGCCATGAAAAATGGATCAAATTAACTGAAACCGCGTTCTTCTCCACCGAGATGAGATGAGATGAGATCATACCTTCTTCTCCTCGAGTTTGTTGGGGCCGAAGGCCTGGAGGCGGCTGGCGGCCTCATCGGAGGTGAGCCCGTGCGGCTTGCACTTGAGCACCTGGAACACCTCCGCGATCGGGATCGCCTCCTGCAACACGTAGCCATCATCGAGTTACATACATTTCAGGACGGCAGCGGCGCCGCCACTAGCTACCGAACGTGCATGCGCATGCATGGCAGGGCGACGAGACGAGGATCAGGGGAGCGGCGGCGGAGGACTCACGAGATCGATGCTCTCGTTGCGGAGGTCTTCGAGGGAGGCGGCCATGGCGCCCGTCTCCGGCGGCGTGCGGGCGATGGATCCAGTTCTGGGGGATCTGAGAGGCGACCCTAACAGACTGGGATCTTTTTAAGGGCTGGAAAGGTGGCCGGGGGACGGCGGGATGGCAACAAATAAAACCCTCCAGATTTTGGTGAGATTTTGTTTTCTCGCCCCCCAAAAATATTTCCATTTCTGATATACGATGACACGGTGCTTAGCCTAGTCGTGTGTAAATCGCTTTGACGGAATAGATTCTAGTTCTAGTACATAATTAGACACGGTGCTTAGCCTAGTCGTCGAAATGAATGTCCTAGTCTGGATGGCTTGGTTCCAGCTGTAAGATGTGCATCTCATAATTAAACTATAATTTAATTACTTGAAGAAAATGCAATTTTATTTTAGCACACACATAATGTAGATTAAAGAAAAGTAAAAATTTAGACTATCAACTGATCGACAAGTGCGGATTTTTTTTTAAAGAAGTGTTGGTTTCATCCCTCAATTTTTGCACTGCTATCCGGACAACTCTGATCCCTCGTGCGACAAGAGGTTTAGACAAGGGGTTTTAGACTAGTCATGATCCATGTGTCAATAATCATCTCTCCATCTCATCTCCTGGTTCCTCCTTTTGAGGACTAGGCTGTAGTCTAGTGGCAAGGGTGGCTCACCTTGCGGCCAGGATTGGAACCCCGTCGGGGTTGAATTTTCTGGTGCCTCACCCCGGATCGGTTTTTTTATAAAACTATGTCCTGGGTGCTAGTGCCCATGAATCTTTTTTTTTCCTCCTTTTTCTTCTACTGTCTTTGATGGGCATCCGGTTGAACGGTTGGCGCCCACCTATACTTCTACCATCTTGTTCATGCAGACCAGCTGCTTATGTCGCCATGGATGTGTGTGAAGGTGCTAGGAATGCAGTAGGGGAGTGGGGAGCTAATTAACTTTGGGAGATACCAATGGGCGGTGCACCCCAAGACATGACATGATTGACGCATGATAGTGAAATATTGAGCGTTCATCGATGACATGCACGGCTTCACAGTACATTAGCTCGTTATCCCGCTGTCGTCAAGAACATTTGATCATCAAAAGTAATACAATCGGCTTGTCCTTGGCATTATCAAGAGTTGAGCCACATGTTGCATTCTTTTATTTTTATTATTGATCAATTTCCATTGCTTGATTATACTCACAGAACACAAACTACAAAATCTTTTAGCACTTGCAGTGAAGCCTTGCTATTTTTGTGCTTATCATTTTCTTCAGCTTCTCGTGGGATCTATACTCTTACATATCAAAAAGATCTATAGTTGACCCCCTACATTGTGGGTCATCAAGACTCTTTTCTAGCGCCGTTGCCGAGGAGCGTAGCGCTCCTGGTAAGTTAAAAGGTGGCAACCGTATTCGCCAAAAAAGGTGGCAACCGAACCATTTATCGCATATGTTGTTGTTGTTTGGGTTTTTTACTCCACATTTGTCATTATGGGCACTTATCTTTGTGATTCCCTCTTGGGAAGATTTATAACATTTTATATCATTATTTTTTCAACGCCTTATTCTCAAAGTTGTTTTAGAACTATCGTTACACTTAACACATTCTAAGATTCAAAAGACATGATCACTAACAATACTTCAGCTAGTCTTAGAGGAGAGACTAGGAATTTGGTTTTACCGTTTATCATTCCACACGTGCATATGAGTTTTCCGTTGAATCGCACATTCCAGGATCATACTCCCTCCTTCCATCTATATAGGGCCTAATGCGTTTTTCGAGGCTAACTTTGACCAAATACTAGAACAATAATATATGACATGCAACTTACACAAGGCACACCGTTAAATTCGTGTGTGAAAGGAGCTTTCAATGATATAATTTTCACATTGTGCATGTCATGTACTACTAATCTTGTCAATAGTCAAAGTCAGTCTTAAAAAACGCATTAGGCCCTTTATAGATGGAAGGAGGGAGTAATAGTTAAAGCATAGAATATAAACTATTAATTATAAACGTGGAAATATAAAAATATAATATCATTGCGCCCAGGGCATATTTCCAACAGTGCTTGTATTGGAACGCCACCACTAAGTTTTGCCTATATATAGGTGTTTTGGCGGCGCTTGTTTCTCAAACACATTCACTTTCATTCTCCACAAAACTCTTCTCCCTAACTAGCTAGCTCCTCTTAGTTTTTGTTGTTCCCTCTTAGCTAGCTACGTGGTTGGCAAATGGACCAACCGGAGTATTCAAATCTTTTATAATTTTGAGTTTTTATTTATTATTTTGAATCTTTTTATAATTTGATTTATTGTTATTATTTTGTGTCTTTTAATTGTTTTAAACTATTTTAGAGTCTTTTTATTGTTTTAAACTCTTTTATTATTTTAATTTTTTTATAATTTTGAGTCTTTTTATTCTTTTGAATGTTCTATATTTTTTATATTCTTATTATTTTCAGTCTTTTCATCGTTCTAAAGACTTTTATTATTTTGAGTATTTTTATTGTTTTAAAGTATTTCATTATTTTGAGTATTTTTATTTTCTTAAAGACGTTTATTATTTTGAATCTATTTATTGTCTTAAAGTCTTTTATTATTTTTGAGTATTTTTTTGTTTTAAAGTATTTTATTATTTTGAATCTTTTATAATTTTGCGTATTTTATTATTTTGAGTTTTTTATTGATCAATTTGGGTCTTTTATAATTTTGAGTCTTTTGTTATTTTGTGTTTTTTCTTTACTCTTTTTATCTTTCAATTATTTTTCTGAAAATAGCCTGCTGGGCCTAGCCCAATATTTATGACGGGGCTGGATCAAAACCTAACTGCAAAACATTGATGAATATAAAAATTGTTTATGAATTTCAAAAAAGTTCATGAATTTAGGGAATGTATGCAAATTCAAAAAATAATTGCAAACCAAACAATGTTTGTGAGTTCAAAAACATCTATGTTCTTTAAAATCAAAGCCAAATTATGTTCATGAATATAAAAATGTTCAGGACATGAAAATAGGTACACAAAATTTAAATTATTCTGAAATTAAAAAATGTTCAGGCATTCAAAAAATTTACGGGAATATGGAAAACGGAATAATTAAGAAAAAACCGAAACAAAAAAGAACAAAAACCTGCAAAATAAAACACAAATATATGTTTGTAAATTTTTTCGGAAAATTCCAGATTCAGAAACATTGTGTGATTTCAAAAACAATCTTTCAAATCTCCTAAAAACAACCGTGGATATTGAAATTATTCATGAACTAAAAAGAGATTGGGAATTTCAGGACAAAAATGTTGAAGAATACAAAAAATATTCCGAATTTCACAAATATGGGTGAAATTATAAATAGTTTACTTATTAAAAAATGTTCGTGAATTTAAAAATATTCAAGAATTTAATGAATGTTCGACAACTAAAAAAATGTTCGCCAATCTCAATAGAAGAATGTGAATCATACAAATGTTGTGAATTCAAGAATGTTTCCCAATTAATGAAACTTCACGAAATCAAAAAAACATTCCATATTCGAGAATTCAAAACAACGTTCATGGATCTCAAAAATGGCGGTGAATTAAAAAATTGTTCATGAATTTGAAAAGGTTAATTAATTGGAAAAACATTCGAATTTGATAAATGTTCACAATTTCCCAAAACATGTTTGCAAATTGAAAAAAGTTCACGACTTCTGACAATGTTCATGAATCGAAAATATGTTCACCAGTTTCAAAATATTCATAGATTTATAACAAGTTCAAGAAACCAAAAAAGGTTCGCTAAATTTGTGAGTGGGTCCCACCTATCATTAGACAGTACACATGATTAGAAATTGCCTACATGGCATCGTCTATGTGTAGAGTACGGATCTATAGTGTCACATCAGTGCCGCGGGAATATGCGATTGGGATTGAAACCACATTTGCACTTCTCTGCCAACTTCTTGCACCACTTTAATGTACACCACAAGTTTTAGTGCTAAGGTGACCATTGGTGCCAAGTTTTAGCACTAATGGTGTAGTTGTCACAATTTTAAAATGTTTTTAATTTCAAAAATGTTCATGGGTTCAAGAAATCGTGAACACAAAAGATGTACACTAATTCAAATTAAATAGAAAAAATGTCTTATCTTTTGGTACAGTGGTAGTAATAAGTGAAAACCAAAAGTAAACCGACAAAATGAAAGCACAGGAAAGAAATTCTAGTTCAGGGTAGTTTTTAGAACCTCCCCCAAACCGGTGAAAAGCATACATAAGGAAAAAATAAAATAGGTTGGCCCAGTATAGCAGGGCCAGGTTGAGGTGCACATTTGCCTAGTATTCCCACATAACGCAGGGAATAGTATTTGGCGCACAACGTGTCCCTCAAAATCACTAATTAAGGGATAGCTCTTGCAAAGGTTACTCCCATGTTTTTCTCGTAGAGTTTCTTTCTATGTGCGGGGAGAGACGGATGGGTTTATTTCTGCACTTTCCTATACATTCGATTTTTCAAGTGATTTATCTCTCAAACTGTGCTTCCAAACCACAATCAGTTTGTGTCCTAATGCCAAGATCTTCAAAACTGGATCTCATCTTAATAGATTTGACGAACTTTGAGAGAAATCTGTGCTCCAAATCTGTACTAACCCGTGATTTAAAATTAAACTACAACATGCTTTCAAACTATATTAATTGTGCTTCACTTTCGGAGAAGTACAATTGTGCTTCATGCGGAAACACAACTTTGCTTCACTTTGGTGAAGCATAGAAGCACTTTGGGTTTCGTGCGATCCGTGCTTCCCTTTTGTGGAAATCACACTTTTGCTTTCAATGGAGAAGCACAATTATGCTCCACGTTTCTGGCAAACAAAAATTGAAGAAAGAAGAAATCCGAAAAAAAACAATTGTTCCGATTGGGGGAGCAACCAACACGTGACACA